CCTCCCAACAGGAAGAGGCTGGTGCCACCCGTAAGCTTCAGGCTGGCATGGAGCGGTGCCACAGGGACTCTGTGACAAATGTTGTCCTGCAGTCATTCAGTCTGGGACCAGCACTTGAAATGTACATTTTGGGACTGTCCCAACCAAGTAGGGATGGGTAGTCACCCTACGCTGAAGCTCTGGCCCTATGAATATTTCAGAGAGATTAACCAAATTGACTCATCGATCGATATCCCCTAAATACCTTACTTAATATTATACATTTCATATATATGGCAATATATATAGAGAGATAGTTCTCTACACTTTTTCTTATAGAATTATGTTGAACAGTCAAAAACTCAGCTTGGTTCTGTCACTGTAATTTCAATGAGAAGCAGAATCTTTCCGCATTAAAAAAAACCTGATCTTTTTTCTTCTCCCAATTTGTGACCTGCTTTTTGGTAAAGTCATTTCAAAAGCATGAGATTTTAAATAAAAATTATCTCAGGGGAGGAGATAACAACTTGGTGCCATCCAAAATGCACATTAGATGCAAGATTTTGAAATGCTATATTGTACAGAGATACCAAAACTACCTCCTATATAGTTTCCTTTATTGGATGTTCCTAATTACACAATTAACAGCATGAAAAGACAAAAGGAAGTAGACAATGGAAAGTATCTTACTAGATTGGTATTTTAAATATAGGAAAGTATAATGGTATCTTGAATGCCATTATTTGGTTACTATTGGTTATGGTATTTAATTTAGGTTAGATTACCCACATTTGTTTTTTACTACTACACAACTGTGCATTTCCTAAATTTGTGGGCTCACAAACAGTTTTGGCCATTTGCATGGAGGAAAATAATACAATAAAATAAATAAATAACAAAACCTCCTGAAACACAAATAATGGCTGCTTTAATGTATGGAAAAAGGCAACACTCAGATTTTCAAATGTGTTGATGATAGAATACTTGCTAAATCAGGGGTGGGAAAACTTTTTGGCCTGAGGCCCACATCTGGGAATAGAAATTGTATGGTGGGCCATGAATGCTCACAAAATTGGGGTTGGAGTGCAGGAGGGGGTGAGGGCTCTGGCTGGGGCTGCGGACTCTGGGGTGGGGCCAGGGATAAGGGGTTTGGGGTGCAGGAGGGTGCTCCTGGAGGGGATCGAGGGGTTTGGAGAGCAGGAGGGGGATCAGGGCTGGGGCAGGAGGTTGAGGCATGGGGAGAGTCTCTGGGTGCAGGCTCCGAGCGGCGCTTACCTCAAGTGGCTCCCGGAAGCAGTGGCATGTCCCTTCTCCAGCTCCTATGCAGAGGTGCAACCAGGCGTCTCTGCACACTGCCTCATTGACAGGCACAACCCCTGCAGCTCCCAGTGAAGTGTGTAGAAGCTGGAGCGGGGCCATGCGACTGCTTGCAGAAGCTGCCTGGTACGGTCCTGACCCTGCACCCTGGCTGGAGCGCCGGAGTGGGGCAAGCCCCAGACCCTGCTCCCCAGCAGGAGCTCATGGGCAGGCTTAAAATGGTCCATGGGCCATAGTTTGCCCACCCCTGTGCTAAATGATCATAGTGATCACTTCTGAACTTCAAGTCTGAGCCTATAAAGTCATAATTAACACACTAATTATGACCTGATTGTGTGGGTGTTTTTCTTTTTGTTTTTGTTTTTTATTAATTGGGTGACTTATTTTCAGTGGATTTCATTCAGAGTGATGCCAATTAAATACTGAAGAACAACCATGCAGGATTCCACAATCTGTCTTGCTGCTAGTCAGTTACTGTGACACTATCTAGAACAGTGGTCTCCAAACTTTTTACACACACAATCACTTTTTCAATTTAAGGGCAACCCAAGATCTACCCTGCCCCTTCCCCAAAGCCCCGCCGCACTCACTCCATTCCACGCCCCGTCTCTCCGTCACTTGCTCTCCCCCACCCTCACTCACTTTTACCAGGCTGGGGTAGGGGTTTGGCGGGGGGTATGGGCTCTGGGCTGGAGCCAAGGGGCTCACAGTGTGGGAGGGGGATCTGGGCTAAGCCTGGGGCAGGGGGTTGGGGTGAAGGAGGGAGTTTGGGTGCAGGAGGGGGCTCTGGGCTGAGGCAGTGTTGGGGTGTAGGAGGGGGTGCAGGGTGTGGGTTCTGGGAGGGGGTTCTGGGCTGGGGCAGAGTTTTTGAGTGCAGGAGGGGATACAGGATGCTGCTCTGGGGGTGCTGGCTCCAGGAGGGGGCTCATGGCTGGAACTTGGGGTGCAGGAGGTTGGTGACCACTGATCTAGCACATGGCCATGACACCATGACTAGTAATAACCATACACTAAACTTATGAGCACAGACTTGGGCACTATTGTTCTGATACTGCAAAGATTTAGGCACATGCAAATTTCTGAAATGTAAATACTACCACTGAAAACAAATTCTATTCAAGTTAAGCACATGCCTAAGTCTGTGCAGGATCAAAGCCATGATCTCCACAATAATTGGGGGTAAATAATATATGAGAGAACTATAATTTAATAGTTGTACAAATAATTTATTGCAAATTATTTAATAAAAATTGTATTCTCAGAGTTGAAGATCCCAAGGCGTATTCTCATGTTGATACACAGGGAGATATCCACATAAGGATAAACTTATTAATATTATCTTCAAGCATCTACATAAGTATTGATGCTGCATCAGCTTTTAAAACTAGTCATAAGAGAGAATTTCATTTCCTTTTCTTAATAAGAGGAAGCAAAGATATTATGTAACTACAGTTTTCGGGTTTTGCTGAAAAGAAAGAGACTGCATAAATCAATTCTCCTTCCATTGGCACTAAAGGTAAAAAACATATTTTAATTATAACTCACAATTTCATCCTTTTTTAATGAGAAAGGGGAAAGTCCTAAAAATAAATTTCTCCCCTCAATGTTAAAAGGCATCTCTATTACAGCTCAGCTTTTTCTTCAGCTAATAGAAAAATGTTATATGTGATGTAGGATTCAAGGGAAGTTAAGTTTCAGAGTAGCAGCCGTGTTAGTCTGTATTCGCAAAAAGAACAGGAGTACTTGTGGCACCTTAGAGACTAACCAATTTATTTGAGCATAAGCTTTCGTGAGCTACAGCTCACTTCATCAGATGCATTCATCGGATGCATACAGTGGGGAATGCATCCGATGAAGTGAGCTGTAGCTCATGAAAGCTTATGCTCAAATAAATTTGTTAGTCTCTAAGGTGCCAAAAGTACTCCTTTTCTTTTTACAAATACAAACTAACACGGCTGCTACTCTGAAACCTGTCATAAAGTTAAGCTCTGATGTCTGCAATATTTTTCTGAGTTGTTTAATACTTTTCATCTCATTTTTCATACACTTATTGTATTGTTGAGATGCTTCACTTTTGCTGGGAGTGGGCTTCTTTATAGATTATACGTGCTCAGCAGACATTTAAGTTCTTTACCTGTAATTGGAAATTCCGAACCCAGTCAGTTGTGGCAGCAGAGAAGATAAGTAATCTCAGTTGAAACCTTTTTTATTAGATCTATCTTGTATCCACTTGTTATATTTAATTATATCAATTCAGTATTAAATTTATAAAGGGAAAATTTAATTCAGTTGACTTACTGCAAGAGCTAAAAAAGTAAACTCATATGTGGTTTCATCTGAATATTTCTGAGCAGTTTGTCATTTGAGCATTGATTTCTGAATAATGCACTACAGTTTTAAGATATCAGGAATATTTCTCTTAGAAATAAAGAAGTTCAGTACATATTAAAATACAATTACCTTGGTCCATCACATGCAAGTTCTTTAACCCCACATTTATTTCCCCAAGACTCATCAATACAATGAAATTTCACTGTCACGAAAGCAGAAATGACATTTTCTGGTCCCCATAATAGCTCTCTGGGCACTGGCATATCTGGGTGCTGGAAAATATTGTGTTAATGTACTTGTGTTCTATGAAAACCTTGATTAATTGTCTATTTACTGTAGATCAAAATTGAAAATGATTTGTGGTCTCATCAGAGTTCCTAACTGATGCTTGTCCAAATTACAGAACCACCACTATACAACTGGGTATAATTACTAATCTTTTTTTTTTAAAGAGACATAATTTGGCTAGATTTTAAGGGGTTTCTATAACTTAACAACCACTAATGATATTAGCTGTATAAGGAGAAGGTAGCTATGTGTGTGATCAAATATCCTATTTCAGGGTGTATGATGTTTGCTTGCAACTGTCAGGGGACTTTCCCTCATTATACAAAATTTCACAGCTGCCTAGGGCCACTAGGGTGGGATTGAGAGAGCAGGTTGACTTTGCTTGGATGCCTCAAGTGCCAACCATTATGAAAAACAGGAGGCTGAATTAGATGGAACCATAGTTCCAATCAGATATGACAAATTCTTTGCCATCTTATTCACACATTTTTAATTCTTGAGGGTAATATTTTTTTACTGCATGCTAGTGTGTGGTTGGTTTTTTTCTTTGTTTTTTTGCTCTTCATTCTGACTTCTATTGGTACACACTGGTCATAATTCTAATCTCACTTACACTGGTGTAAATGTAGTTCCCATGATTTCAGTGAAGTTACTCCGGAAGAGTGTGTGTCGTTGATAGAGCACTGGTCTGGAACTCTGGGACCTGGTTGCTATTCCTGGCTCTGCCACTGGTCTTCTGGGTGACCCTGTGCAAGTCACATCTCTGCTCTGTGCCTCAGTCTCCTCTTCTGTAAAATAGGGATAATGATAGTGTCCTACTTTGTAAAATACTTTGAGATCTAAAGCTTTGATCTAGCTGAGGAGAATAACCCATAAAATTCTGTTAGAAGAAGAAGAGAACTACCATTTGGGGGGTATGTTCTCATTCAGTTAGAGAGTGAGAATTCAGTGAACTCAAGTACATGCATAAGTACTTTCCTGAGTTGGGGCCTTAATGTTTGATTAAGCTGTTATTTGTGAAGAAATATATAAATACAAGATATTTAAATTATATGTGCACTATTTTAGCCTTTGACATTCAAAATATGGCAAGTTGTGAGGAAGATCATTCAGATGGAATTTTCTGCACAGACCAGCATTCTGATTGCGTCAAGTTTGATACCCTGTCTGAGAAAGCACTGTTTTCACTATGTAAGTACTTCACATGAATAGGATGACTCCCTACTAATTCCTCCATCATCAGAGAATGACACTTATTATTTAAAAGTTTTCAGTAGAAAATGATACACTTCTTCCTAGATTATTTTCCCTTTAGAAAAGACACATTACTTATTTTATATTGACTGTGTTACACACTTAGGATGAAATTCATCTGCACATTTTAAGCCTCATATGAATACTGTTTAGACATCTGCCTATTGTGGCTGTGCAGAGATGCTTTTACAAATTCAGTGGCCTAAGATTACACACAGATGGTATAGAGGGATTGAAATCTTTATTCCAGCCCCAAAGCTTCCACGAGTCAATCTGGCTCATGGCAAAACTTAGATCAGCCCTTTCCTGGAGGGTACTCTATATAATGCCCCTTCTCAATGGCCCCACAGGTTCTGTTCCATAGCCTGGGAATGTATTGGCCATGCCTCCTCCCCCATTGGAGCCAGGAATAGATGACTCAGCTCGAAGACAGCCATGTAATTTTCCATGCTGGGGGAATTCTGAGTTGCTCACGTAACAAGATTTTATGACCTGTTTGGATGGTCAGCAAAGCCAGAATCTGAAATCTGGTTCTGTGTATCAAAATATTTGCCCTTTAGGAAAGGCCATTATATTTAGATACTAAAACATTGGAGGTACCTGAACTCCTGCATACTAGTTTGGTATGTGTCTCTTACCCCAATTCCTAAAATTAGAGAAACACATTATTTTCTTTCAAAAAGCAACAGTTATTCCAAAAGGCTTTTTCAATGCAATATCCAACTGTAAAATAACAAAAACTGAAACCGAAACCCTGTTAACTTGCCTCTTGTAATTCAGTCACTGTAATATAAATTGTAAAAATAAATATCCTTGAGAGATTTCATGAAGAGAACTATAGCACCAGAGATTTGATATGGCAGAGTTGAAAAAAATGAAAGCAAAGTTTAAACTTGATAACCAGCCATAAATTTACTTTTAGGCTCTCTCTTACCTGGTGACTTTGGACTGAAAATATATCCCTACTATAACTTTAATTAATCATTCTACCTTACTCCTTGAATCTATTGCAATAGCATTCAATTCTTAGTGTAGTTTAAAACTGAGAAATAAGTGAGGGCTATTCACTTATCTTTTCTTTATATACTTCTGTTTAAAAAGAAATACTGTTTCAGCTAACAATGTCACAGAATGTTACCAGCTTTCTTAGAGTAATTTCAGCATCCCAGATTTTGCCCGTGCCCCCAAGAAAAAACTCACAGGGAGGAGCTTTTTCTGAGGAAATTATCATGATGATCCCCTCACTAACTTCCTCTCAATTCTTCCATTAGGGACTGGAGTTTTATCTCCATGGGGAATACATCAGCCCCTCAACCCAGGCAGATCTGGAAGGTGGATATCTGCATGAGTCCCGGCTTATCCACCTGGGGGCCATTTCCCTCTGTACTGGCACAGGCCTCTAATGCCATCCCTTGTTCCTCCTACCAGAGTGTCCTGGATGTAGCTTCTTTCTGGGCCCTTTTTTCCCCAGAGGGGAAAGCTAATACAGCACCAGAATGTATTATATGTTCTTCCTAAGGTCAATTAAAGGGGGAACAATGATGGCACTTTAACATCAAGAACTGGAGGGAAAGGAAGGTGAGTACAGGAAGAAGAAATCTCAGAGGAAAACTGGAGTCAGAAGAGTGCTTGATTTAGTAGGGAGAACCAGATGGCAAATCTACCTTTCTTAGTTATCTTGGTGACCACTGGTCCCACTGTGAGAACTGGCATTATTTTTTATTATTCAAATCACTGGTGCTTATGAAATGTAAAACATGTTTCCTGAAGTATTTTTATTATTTAATTAATAGCCCATGATTATTTTAAAGTTTCTTTAGGGGATTCAAAATTTCTTAATATCAAGAAAAATTACAGTGTAATATTATATATTCTGGGCTCCTTCTGTAGTCTTTAGTCAGGCAAAATTCCCATTATTTTCAATGGGAATCTTGCCTGAGTTGGGGCTATGGGATTGAACCCTCTATGTCTAATTCTTTGCAGGTACAAAAAAGGTCACGGATCATCAAAGAAAAAAACAGAAATGTTTTATGCTTACCCTCAGTGTTCTCTATCTGCTTGTATTTTCCATTGTCGTTGTAATCATCAGACTAGCAGGTAAAAATTTCAATTTATTATACCAAAGGAAACAAACAGGTATGGGTAATCTTAAGCAAGAGATTTAGTAAAGAACGATTATACCTGGAATTATTTTTACATCAGTGAAGACCTGAAGTATGACTTAGGATTTGAATGCACAGTGTTCACTAGGGTCAAATTTAATGCAGTGATGGTTAGTGCTCCTGGATCAACTAAGCCCCAGTGCTGGTGTCCATCCACTTGTATTTGTCACTGCTCCAGAAAAACAATGCTGCCTTTTTTTGTGCACTAGGCTAGATACACTGCCTCCCTTGAGAACCAACCTTCATTTCCTTTGGAAGCACCACTGAGTAATTCCTTCAGGTGAAAATCCAAAACTAGTTCAAACTGTAAATAAGACACAAGATTTTAGCAGCAAAGTTGACCATTGACACAGCCTACTGAAGGAAGCTGTAAATTCATCATAAGTTGGAGACTTGAAATGGAGTCTGGATGTCTTTCTAAAGGACATACTCTAGTTCCATCACAGATTATTGGGCTTGCTAGTTTTCACATATGTAGCTAAATAAATAAATAAATTCCCTCCACTGCAGAAACTGTTGGACAGTAAATTCTATGATCTGTCCTATGTAGCAAGTCTGACAAGATAAGCAATGTGGCTCTTCAGGCATTAAAATGTACTAATCTCTATCTAACAGAAAACTGTCAGTTATGAGCCATCTGATGGTTCATGAACATTGTTTCAAAGTACAATATCAATGCCCTGCTGTTGCATGGAGTTCCATGCTGCTTATGGATGGTCACTTGTGCTGGCACAGAGCCATTGACTTCCATGGAGACGCCACGTGAGTGAAGAATCCACCAACGCAGAGCTCCTTACAGGACTGGGGCATTATTTCTGTGAATAAAAACCATTCCCCCATGTAAGATTAAAGACCATTAAAATTCTTTCCTTGCTGGAGCTGTCTTATGTTAAAATAATGTCTGTTTCTTAGTACATACTTCCCAAATTTTACAGTGATATTTCACTGTCTCCTTCAGAAAGGTTCTTTACTGATGAATAAACATATCCCTTGTATATGTTTCAAGTAACTGGCTTTTTGTATCGCTAAAAAGACTAAACAACATCTTCCTGAAAACATTCCATTAATATGTAAATAACTGAACTCCTTTGTGTAATGATTGGGGGCCAGATCCTAAGACCATTGAAGTTAATGGCAATAAACCATTGACTTTGGATCAGGCCCTGAAAAGAAACACTCATAGTAAATATATCCTTTAGGAATCACAAATAAAGACACTGAAAGATTAAAAGTGTATGGGTTGGCTAGAGCTGGGAAAAGCACAATAAAATATAAATTGAACACCAAAATTGTAATTATGGAAAAGATGTCATTTATTGACTTTTGTGGCAAAAAATCTGGGCACATTCTTTAATCAATACTGACAGATTAAATAAAGTGGCCTACTTACTTCTTAATTAAATCCTGAGTACAGAGAGGCATTCAAATGCTCTTTGCGACAAAAAAGTCCTCTTTATACTCATTTCTTTTTATGATACACTTTGTACATTTTTATCAATTTGACTATTGTAATTTTCTTTTTACTAATCAAAATGAGACTTTCTAAGAACTGACGAGAAAAGAAAAATTATCTAGAGTCCAGATCTGCATTGCATTTTGTTCCCCATATACATCATGATCCAACCCAGAGACAGTGGGAAAGCTCATATGAAAGTATTTGCTCTCCCTGTCCCATGAGGAATCCAAAGAGGCATATTGGAAGATCAGCCACAGATAGATTGACCTGTATCAAGGAGTGATGTAGTCCCATTGCAAAGTGTGCCCCACAGGGGAGCATGTGAGATAGAGGGACCAATGAGGAACAACAGCTACCAAGAGGCACCACAGTGGCTCAGGTGGATACAGAAGTAAATGTCAACCTGACTCTCAAAGAAATGATTTTCCCACTGGAATATTTTGCCAAAATTAATCTTTTCCCACAGAAAATTTAAATTTGGACGAAATCTATTTTTTTCCAATGGGAAAATAGTTAGTTCTAAATTTTTCAACTAGCCCTAATTATCATGATGAAACATTATGATTCAGTGTCACCAAGAGATGACTGAAAAATCATTTAAAAATCCAAACATTAGGGGGGCAGAAGGGAGGAATAGGGTGTTGAATTTTCTCCAAAAAAACTCGTTAAAAAATCAAAATTTGAAAAATGTCAAACAGCTGTAGTCATGTAGTGATGCAATCCAACAATGAAACTATTGCCAAGTCAGGTCAGGATGCTGCACTATGTTTACTTTGAGGCTCTCTCGAACTCCATTTTATGCAAACCTCCTCTCTCTTTGTTCCTCCCTCCCCCACTTCTCCCATCACCCCTGGATATTGAGAGAGATCCAGCAATATCCCACTAGCTTCAGTCCAGTTACTCAGTAGCCCTCTGAAACCTCACATGTATCATGGGAAGAGCTTTCGTCTTTCTGCCTGGGATCTTGAAGAGTGAGAGGAGCCCTGATCAGGCTCTTGCTCTCCACACATATCACATTTGGTATTATAAGTGCTGTGCTATGACTACAAGCTGAATATCTTCACTCTGCAACAGCCAATTCCACCCCTCAATAGCCTGACGCGTGAGAGAGGAAGAATCAAACCCAGTTTGCTGGATGGCAGCACAGGCACTAACCACTTACCCCGGGCACTTTTCTCATATTGCTTGGAAATTTACAATACATGTTTCCATACAGAGTTGGGAGAAATCACTGTAGGCAACTGCTACAACCTGCAATAACAGTTTTCATACATATGTTTACAGTCAAGTTTCTTTCTCAGCTTGGCAAATGTGCCTGGGGAGAGAGTCACAAGAGTGGAACTGAGAACATATAGTTCACAAAATACAGTGAAAAACCCCCACAGCCATTTATCAGGGGGTAGCCGTGTTAGTCTGTATCCACAAAAACAACAGGGAGTCTGGTGGCACCTTAAAGACTAAGCCCTGGTCTACACTAGGACTTTAGGTCAAATTTAGCAGCGTTAAATCAATGTAAACCTGCACCCATCCACAAGATGAAGCCCTTTTTTTCGACTTAAAGGGCTCTTAAAATCGATTTCCTTACTCCACGCCTGACAAGTGGATTAGCGCTTAAATCGGCCTTGCCGGCTCGAATTTGGGGTACTGTGGACACAATTCAATGGTATTGGCCTCCGGGAGCTATCCCAGAGTGCTCCATTGTGACCGCTCTGGACAGCACTCTCAACTCAGATGCACTGGCCAGGTAGACAGGAAAAGAACCGCGAACTTTTGAATCTCATTTCTGGAGACTGTGGGAACTGTGGGATAGCTACCCACAGTGCAGCACTCTGGAAGTCGACGCTTGCCTCGGTACTGTGGAAGCACTCCACCGAGTTAATGCACTTAATGCACTTAGAGCATTTTCTGTGGGGACACACACACTCGAATATATAAAAACGATTTCTAAAAAAACAACTTCTATAAATTCGACCTAATTTCATAGTGTAGGCATACCCTAACAGATTTATTTGGGCATAAGCTTTCGTGGGTAAAAACCCTACTTCTTCAGATGCAACTGAAAGTATCTGAAGAGGTGGGGTTTTTACCCACGAAAGCTTATGCTCAAATAAATCTGTTAGTCTTTAAGGTGCCACCGGACTCCTTGTTGTTTTCACAGAGATTTAGTCAGTTAGTGTAAGCGCTATTTACTTTCTATCTAATGAAGCTGTTATTTCCTGATTCACATATGGTCACACAGACTCATTTGGGTAGATTAACCACTGGTGTAACTCCACTGAGGTCAATGAAGTTACACCGGGGATACATTTGGCTAAACATGTTTACAATGCTTGGATGCAGTGCCTTGAACCAACCACTGAGAATCCGGAATCTCTCTGCAGTCCTATTCAATGACATAAAAAGCAACATTTCCAGTAAAAAGCTTTTAAAGGAAACAAAGGAAATAGTTACAACAAGCTACTTTTAATGTTGACATTGATGGAACAGAAAATGTTTCATTTCATGTAAACTACAATCACTGACTATTAATGCTGACAAATTTCTAAAAATGGGTGTATTTTTTTCAGTTTGCATTAGCACCCATTTCACCAACAATACAGAACCCACTGTGTCTGCCTGGTATGAATAATAAGAACTTGTCTGTTTATCTGCAACTAGAATTAAGTTGTGGAACTTGTCTCCAATGAAATAGATGCTGAAAATCAGCCTGCCCCTCTATATCTCTTCAGAATTATTCTGAGAATTAGAGAGATGATACACAATGCATAGAGGATTTAACTGCCTCATCATGCATCAAATAAGGCACTTAACACATGTGGCCATTAATTTACTCACCCACAAGTTTACCAGTGGGGGTAAAAAAAAAAAAAAGCAGATCCTAGAAGTGTGCAGTAGTAAGCAGCTGTGCATATCTCAGAAACATCTCATCCCAACAGACATTAATTGGCTCCCCTGTTGGCCGTCCTAGTGAGAAACTGAAGGGACTTAAAGATTAAAGTAGTTTTTCCTTGATAGAAGTGTGGTCTTTCTAGACCATCACAGAGCAAACTGGTGTGCAGTACTGGCAAATTTGTATGCTACTGCCGAGACTGTATATGTCCTTTGAATAAATAAGACTTCAAATCCCTAGCTGTTAATCCAGCACCTTTCAAAAACACTAAATTCACCAAAAGAGTCATTATCAATGGCTGCTTCAAAATATATGTCAGATTTGAAAAGCAAAATCTATATTCAGTAGAAAAGAGCTCCGTTGAAGGACTAAGACAAGCTCTATGTGTTAATTACTTCTATGCTTGTTTTTTTCAAGCATCCAAATTGTGCAAGCCACTTCACAGAAACAAGTAGAAATGTGGAGGAAATCCCGGCCCCATTGAAATCAATGGGAGTTTTGTCATATTTTTATCCATGGTCTCTACCCCCAAGGCTAAAGGACAAAATTTTAAAACTTGGGTGCTTAACGTTAGCCACTTAAATAAATTTCACTGATTTTTTTTCCAGTGAGCAGTTCTCATAATTCATAGATTTTAAGGCCAGAAGGGATCATTAGATCATCAAGTCTGATCCCCTGTGTGCATAAGTCATTGAATTTCATACAGTTACTCTTGTATTGAATCCAACAATTTGTGTTTGACTGAAGCATATCTTCCAGAAAAGCATCCAGTCTTGGTTTCTCCATCTTCTGATGTCTTCAAATCACCACTTCCTTTGGTAATTTCTTCCAGTGGTTAATCACCCTCACTGTGAAAAAAATTGTGCCTTATGAATTTGAACATTGCAAGTGAGTGTCATGTCAGACTGTAAAATCTTTCTCTCTCTCTCAGTCCCTCCTGTTGAAGCTGTTCCACTTTGTATAATGATTAAATATTAATTGGACCAGAGAGAGAGAGAGAGAGAGAGAGTAACTGTCTGGCAGGGGTGTCAGAACCAGGGAGACCATGGGGTCCATGCCTGCCGACTTTTTAACATGGGCATAGTTGGGAGGGGCAGGTGGCCATGTTGCTCCCCAAAACTGCAAGCCTTGGGCATGCTCAGTGCAGTGTAGGCAGGGGCTGCGCTTCGCAGCGGGGGAGCTGATGATCATGGTGCCAGCCTCTTCCCAGGGTGGGAACTGAGGTGGGTCGTAGTTCCCCCTCACCATGAGGCATGGTCCCTGTTACTGGCCCTGCTCCTGCTCCTCCTCTTTTCCCCAAGCCCCTGCCCCCTAGCCAGGCTGGAAGCTGGAGCCGGACCATGGTAAGAGCCATCCAGGGAGCCTAGACCTCTTTGGGGAGCCCTGGACCCTGCATCTCTCCTGGGTGGGATGCCGAGGTGCCTGAGAGCAGCCCCTGGCCCATGTCCCTGCCCCCCAGGGCACACCACCCAGGGCAGGTGGAAAGTTCTGGCCTCCCCACAGTGGCCCGGGCTCCCTGGGCAGCTCTTACCATGGCCATATGTGGAAGTCCTTGCAGGATAGAGGTTTAAGAACACATACAAAACAATAAATTAGGGTCACTGATGGGCAAAACAGAGAGAAAGAGAAAGGACCAGGGTAACAATAAGATCACACTCAGACAGGTGAATGTGGATCTCTTACAATAGAGTTTATTTAAATTTTTTATCATCTCACATGCCATACCAATTCTGTGGGAACAAAGTAATTTTAACCCATAATATGAGGAATGCTGAGGCCCTGGATAATTTATTTAAGAACAAATTATACAGTCTTGATACTTAATCTATTGATTTAATTATCTCAGTACCCTGCATGATTAAATAATTGAAGAACCTAGCAATAACAGTTGTATTTTCACTTGGAACTTTATTCAGTTCACGTATCCGAGATGGAAAAGAACCTGAAGAATGACACTAATCTAGTTAGTGAGAATAACATACAACGGTGCTTCAGTGGAGATTGTCCTGGCAAAGCAAGAAAAGGAAAAGAGGAGCAGAGAGAACTCATCATAGCTCATACTGAAGCTTTACATCAAATTGCCAAAGAGATTTCAGAGCTGAAAACTAACCTTCACCAAAAGTCAGAGCATTTCCAAAATCTAAGCACAGCAACTGAACAAAAGCTCTGGGAGGTTGGCCTTCAGATTAACACCTCAACCTTAGCAATGCAAGTCCTTCGGAAGTTGATAGAAGATATTCAGACCTCATTTAGGTTTCTGAATTTGACATTAGCTGAAGTTCAGTCTGCTGCAGAAGACAGGAACAATAAATACACAGGAGTGTTCCTTAAACAGCTAGAGGTAGGAAGCTACATTGATTTTGTCACAAGTTTTAAGGCATTGATAGGATCCCCCATCCATTGGCAAAAGAAAAGGTAACAGCTTTGCCGTGTAGATGGTCAGATTGTTGTTCTTATGACAAATTTGGGAATACATTTTCAGAAGGGCAGAGGGAACAGCTTTTCTTTCTACAAGTGCAATTTGTATCTACTAACATTCATTCCCATATTTTTGCACCAGGAAAATGAACTACATATGCAAATCAGACAACTTAGACCTCTTTCTACTTACCTGATTTGCACCTGACCATGAGATAATTAGTGCAATTATCCTAATTTTCATCCACAGAAGGAAGGCCGCCCTGTTGAAAAATTACCCGGTCCCAAAGAGATCATGTTGGCAGGTTAACATTTTGTTCATTTACTTTCATCCCAATGGGACTTAGGCTTTAAAAATCCTGCTTGGCACCTATCTGCATATTTAGGGGCATAAATAAAGACATTTGAAAATCTGTCCCTTAGGAATGTAAGTCTCATTGAAAGTCAATGGACTTAGCTTTCTAAATGCCTAAACACTTTTCTAAATGAGAGTTATAGTAGAAAGCTCCGAAGTAGAGCTTTGCAAATAACTGATGGAAAATTTTTAAAAAAATACATTTTGGGTATGTTCCGAAATGAAACTGTTTCAAATTTTTTGGCAAACTGAAAATTTGAAAAAAATATATATATGGAGACAAACAAAACATTTTGTTTGACCTGAAAGGAAGCATCTTGCTTCATTTTCAAGCTTTTAAAAAGTTTTTTAAATATAAAAGTGAATTAAATTTCAAAGTGAAAAGTCATTTCAAATAAAAAAATCAAAACGTTTTGTTTAAAAAATGACAGAACAGGATTTTTTTTTCAGAACTTTAGTTTGTTTTTTCAACTGAGACAATTCAGTGAAATGGATTTGAATTCACTAAATGTTTCAGTCAATCCAAATCTGCAGGTTTCAGAGGAAAAAAAGTATTAACCAAAACATTTCACCCAATTCTACTTCCAAGTTACTGGGGCAGTTTGGAAAAAATGTACTAGTGACTACAGTCCTGTACACTAGTCAATATAAAAATGATCAGACATTGACCATTGATTTTAGACAAATATAATGTACCCTTCTTTCTGCAGCAAGTTTTCAAACATAACCATGCAGGTACTGTACTTAACTAAGTGTTAAAGACCAAGGACCAGATTCTAAACTACACCCTTTGTGTAGTCATTCACTCGTGTGCAAAATGAATGCAAAATGCTGCAAAATTATAATGGTAACACTTCACAATCACTTTCCGCTTCCTAGGCAAAATCCTAAGATGTGGCCAAGATACAGTCAGTGCAACTGAACAGTGGGTGGGGCTTTAAGGCAGCTTTGCATTCCTTCTGTTCAAGAGCCTCCCAGGAGTATGAGCTGATCCCTAGCATAACTTAAAGCAGTTGAGGATCACAAGGACATAGAGGGTATGTTTATGCTGCCTTTAAAAAAACACAACTGGCCTGTGCCAACTGACTTGGGCTCATGAGGCTTGGGCTAAGTGGCTGTTTAACTGTGGTGTAGATATTTGGACTCGGGCTTGAGGTGAGTCTCTAAGACCTTATGAGGTGGGAGGGTCCCAAATCTTGGAGCCCAAACATTTACACCACAATTAAATAGTCCCTTAGCCTGATCCCCTTAACCTGATCCCCTTAACCTGAGTCAGCTGGCTCAGACCAGCCACAGGTGTTTAATTGCAGTGTAGTCATACCCAGAGACTCCCTTTTCCCCAAAATGTCCCCTCCACAGAGTAGGGATGGCATAGAGCTGCTCTGCTTTAAAAAAAAAAGAAAGTACTACTCTATATGAAGAACTGAGCCCTAGTTTTATATGGCATTTTGCGAGATAGACTTCAATGGGAGCAGAGTAAGGCCAACGCTGAGCACTTCTGAAAATCCCATCCACCTTTCATTGTGTATCTTGGCCACCTCTGTCAGGTTGCAAAGAATCTGATGTAGTCTCCTAAGAGTTTAAAATAATTTGATACTGTTCTGGGGAAGAATAACCTGATTTAAAATAAGTGAACAACACTCAGATGCATCTGAAGAAGTGGTTTTCACCCACGAAAGCTTATGCCCAAATAAATCTGTTAGTCTCTAAGGTGCCACTGGACTCCTTGTTGGTTTTGAACAACACTGTATTTGCACAAGAAATCCTGAACTGCCAGAAGGTATTATTTCAGTTCTAATGCATCTTAATATCAATAAGGGGCACAAACCTTGCTCAGGGGAATGGTCTTTTCTCACTGGAGTAATTTATTTACTCCCAAGCAGATTCTTTTCTCACTTTTGTTTATTTACCATGTCTATCCCAAAGAATGTAAAAAATAACAATAAAGGGGATTACTCAAATGAGTAAGGTCTCGGACCATCAGTGTTAGAATGAAATACCTAATGATGCTAATATATTTTTACAGGATATCACAAACCTGTGGGATAATTGGTACAACACATCAGCAACCATTGTTACCATAAAACAAGAACAAAGCAATCTGGAGCAAGAAATTAAAGGCGAAGTGAAACTTTTGAATAATATCACAAATGACCTCAGATTAAAAGACTGGGAGCATTCAGTAGCGTTAAGGAATATTACATTAGTGCAAGGTAATTTCTGGTGGTTCTTAAAATAAGAATCGGTTAAAATATTTAAGAGTTATCATAAGTGACAAGAAAGGACAGGGATTAAACAGATAAGGGAAGCTATCACTGTAACTGCTGATCCTGTATGTGCTGTTGTGGTAAATAGAGGACATATTTCTCCAGCAATGTCAATTCCCATAGCTTCCAATCCTGCAAACACTTATTCATGAATTTAGTGTTATGCTCATTTGTGTTTACAGGCTGAAGTAGGTAATAATTATTAGCAAGATTAGAATTGAAGTAGCAAAATAAAACAATGGTCCATCTATTCCATACCAGCAGTGGCCTATGATGGATGCTTCATATTTGACTAATGAGGCAATGCTACCTCATAGGGTAAATTCATTCCTAACCCTTGCTGATGAACCCTGAAGAATGAGAACTGCTCAGACTTAAGCTGATTCATGAGATGCTGTTTATTTATATAAATGTCTATTCATTTTGTGAATCTCACTGATTCGCCATTGTGTTATTCCAGTTTTACATATGTGTAAGTCCTTTGATTTCAATGGTGTTACAACAAGAAAAAGCTGGAACATCGCTGTGATGAGTCAGACTCAGAGATTGCTGAAGGCCAGATTCTGCATTGAGAACGTCATGCACTAACTTCTGAAACTTGGCAGACACCCTTTGACTTCAATGGAGATCCACCCACATGCTCCTCAATGCAGGATAATGACCTAAATGTCATTCTTTCTGACTATTTGCCAAGGGAACTAAATGTCCATGACTGTCTGGATTTTTTTCTCAATTTTATGCTTACGTATTTTTCAGAGAGTGTTGGTCTTGAATAAATGGAAAGTTATACAATTAAATTTGTAGATTAAAAATGCAATTATAGGCACACATTGGACTGCACATTCTTTTAACTTTACGTCCCATAACTCCAAATGAAGATGATGAGGATAATTGTCACATCAGGGTCTGTAAACTGATTGTTCTTGAGAGAGACAATTAATGTGACAAAGCAAGAAAGAATTATCAAGAAGTAGATGAAAGCATGATCAAAGAACAAGCAGAAAAAATAAACATTTTTCCAGACTATTTTTTCATGAGATCAAACTTTTTTTTCAAATTCTCACTGAAACAAAAGAAAAAATACTTTACATTTTTCAGTTTAAAAAAAATCCAAATCTCGATTTCATGTTTCTTGTCGTAACAAAACCACCTATTATGGTGTAACACTAACATGAATAATATACAATGTGCCCATCTAATGGTAATGTTTAGTATTGCAAATGTTTTGTGTTGCTCTGGTTGGTTATGTCAATAACGTAACAAGGTCCTGCAATGATGTTGACACTGTTAGAGCATTAAAGAAATTAGACTAGTTCTTATTGGAACCAGTGTGAGAATGTGCATTTGACATTGCACGCTGCAGGTTCACAGTAGCAAACTGCAGGGTTAATTTAGTCTTCCAAAACAGAAAATAAACCTAACCAAATTAACCCTACAGTTTGCTACTGTGAACCTGCAGCGTGCAATGTCAAACATACATTCTCAGACTGGTTCCAATAAGAACCAGTCTAATTTCTTATATATTTATTATTGCAGTTGAGTTATACAAGTATCAGATTTTACGCTGAAAACATATGATAAAAAAGTAATTATCTTCCCCATTTTTTGAAAACTGAACAGTTTGTACTTTTAGAAAGAAACCTAAGCATTTACAATGGAATAAAATGTTTTTCAAAGATCATGTAGTTGCTTTCCTCCTTTTTATTATATCCTCTCTGTTGAATTCTTTAGGCATCATTTTAATAAATACATTTTATATGTTGCTTTGAATATTGCTATGACAGTGCACTTTTTCACTCAATTGCATAAAGTATCTATGCTGTTTCATTTTCATCCTCTTCCCTCGCCTTTAGTTCTTTTCCTCTGCATTCCACCAAAACATGACCTTCTGTGTTTCAGGAATCAAGGTTTTAGAAACTCCAACCTCTAGGTCTTTGGTTAAGGGTCCTAAATGGGGGCTATACTTTGTTTTCTATCACTTGCATGCAGTAGTATCCCTATCAGTGTTATGGTGGTTGAACCACTACAATGGCAGATTGGTCTTTTTCTGAATATTGCTAATGAAAAATGATAAGCCTATCCTTTCGCGTATGTAATAAATTCATGATTTACAGTAATGGTGTATCATGTCCAATTTTTTTAAAGGTCCTCCTGGGCCCAAAGGAGAGAAAGGTGATAAAGGTGTCAGAGGAGATCAAGGCGTAGAAGGAGTTCATGGGCTAAGAGGTACGTTGGCTGTCATATAATGAATAATCCTGGGAACAAGGTGCACGTACTGGATACTCAATAAAGTCACGCTTATGATCATGTGAAGTCCCAGGTAAAAGGTTAATTGTTGAAATCTAAACCCTATCGTACAGAAAAGATTTGCTTTAAATTCAGAAAATATGAACTATTCTATATGGATTTAGTTCAGATTAGCTTGCTGAACAATCTTCCCAGATGCCTAATAACTGGTGCAACCAGCTTGATAACTGTATGTTGGTGGTATCTATCGCATATTGAACACTTGACTTTACTTATTTTTTTTGTCTTAGATGAAGATAAATCGTTTCATTTTAAAACCACAAAAACAAACAAAAATCGCCAATAGGCTACATCTTGTGTGTGTGTGTGCGCGTGTGTGTTTTAAAAGAAAACCCAACAGATTCGGAGAAATACACTACATAAATATCAGACAGACTCTAGCTGGATTCTATTTCTCTAGTGATGTACTGGAATAGATCTGTTTCAACTCACTGGATGTGAATTTAAATGCTGAGTAGAATACAAATTCACTTTCACCTTTGCTGTCAGCAACTGTATGTAGTTTATTTGGAGCAAGTCTTGGTTTTTACCATTTTTCTATATGTTTTATTTGCTAAAATCTATAGCATAATTAATAAACTTTAGAAATTAAAGAAGATAAAGGGAAATATTATTTCCTTCTAAAAGAATAAGAGAAGACAGTGAGTAAAATAATTGGCTCTTAATTCCTCATAAGTATCACAAAAACCCAGGTAGTGTTTCAAAGCAAGGACTGTATACAGGACGATGTGTTTTTTACTTTGCATATCATCTCATGAAGCTAGAAAAAGCCCAAATATGTAGCACTACATTATTTTCATCATCTTTGATTACGTAAATCTCTTTCCATCCCTGATCAATGTATTGACCAGTCCAAGTTTAATTAGTTTAAAAGTTTAAAAGCAAGAGTTTGGTTCCTGACTGTCCTTCTGATCATTTTGCTTAAGAAACTAATGCATCAGCTGAAAGCCTATCTATGGGGATTCCTTGCCCTTGAATATTCTGCCAGATTAGCTTTATCTTGAAGAGTCAGTTTACATGACTGCACATCTGTGGATCTTGACAATAGTGCATTAATGTCATGAGCAAGGGAAGTAACCAGTATTATATCAAAGTCCACAACCTTTGCTATTATCAAGGCTCTGTCAGCATTTCCATTATAAACTACTATCATCAAAGCTGTATAACTCAACCATAAAAGGTCATTCTGGATGACAACTTGCAAATGGTTTCATTTTGGGAGCATCTTTTTCAGCTGTTCCTAAACTTTACGTTTGCAAAATGAAAAGCACCAATATTTTACCTTTTGTTGTTGTTTGTTTTGGTTTGTTTTTTTGGAAGATGAGGGGCAAGGCAAAAGAGATTCTTGTAAATGAAGTGTGAAAATGAACTTTTTAAGTCTCTTAGATTGCACTGATCACACAGATTGGCCTTGGCTTAATTTGGAAAACCACAGAAACAACTACAAATGATACAAAAAGTGTCTTCTGATTATTTTCAACAATAATGTTTCCCAGAGTACTAACTCTGAATACCTGCCTACTTGACCCATCTACTTTAACAATTACAGTAACTTGTTATATGAATGATGTAACAGTAATAATCTATGACTTTCAGTGATGTTAATGGGAGGTCTGCACATGGCTCAAGCATGGTTTATGACTGAATATGTTTACGTGTCAGAGCATGAAAACACCAGTACATTGAAAACTCTCCTACTCCATCTGTACAGTACCTAGCACATTGGGGCCCCATTCTTGGATGGTCCTTAAGCACTACTGTAATAAACATAATTTATAATAGTAGTGTTAAAACCTATACCAGTGTTTAGTCCACTAGGTTGTTTTCCGTGGATGTTGACTGATTAATCTCTAACAGTATGAAGTAGTTTTATCTCTGGCATTTGTAAAAATTGACTTCATTTAAGGAAGACAAAGAGGGAGGATCATTTGAAATTATGGAAGGAAGCAGAGGCAGATACATCATTAACAAGGCAAAAGCAGCTAAAGTCTGTGGATCTTGTATTAATAGGAAGTCCTAGATCTCTTAAAAACTATGGAGCAGGTCATCAGAAAGTGTAAATTTATATAATACTCTGATGTTTTATAGAGCTATGTTGATTTACACCAGCTGCGAATTTGGACCTATGTATTTATTCTGTAAAATGTATTATGAAATCAAGGGTCAGAACCTTCACTGAAGTTAACTGGCTTAGCATTATTGACTTCAATGCAACTACACAATTTATACCAGCTGAGCATATGGACCTTGATAGTAACAGCTGAAGAATGTATAATGTGGGAATGATGTAACTACATTTCTGAAATATCTACCAAGACCAAAACTATTTTCTCTGAAAAAGGAATAAAGGAAATTTAAAATCGGTTCATCTTGTATGCTCTAGCCATTAGGAAGAAAAAAATAATCTTTTCTAGCTATGAAAAACAGGAAATTAAGTTCAGTTAAAACTCACACACCAGTTGAACTAACTAGGAACCTATAGTCTAACTTAGTTTGTTAATGAAATCTGCCAGAAACGGGGAGAGCTGGATCTCAGGAACCCATCCTAAACTAAGGTAATCAGGAGACAGTAGAGCTACAAGTTTTTGCAATGTTGAAGAACACAGAGCCAAACAGAAGGAACTCTATATATTTTCCATATATAATTGGGGGAAGAGGGGAGTAATCTGGTGGTTTGCACAGGTAAAAAACACTAGAGAAGAAGGAAGTCATGGAAACAAACATGGCCGTAAACGAATAACCAGAAATGGCTATAACGCTGTCTGAAATAGCAGGCAAGTCTGATATGGCTACTATTCTGACTGGAATATACAAAACAGTGAAGGCCTTAAAGAAATTGTCCACAAACCAGGAGTGATGACCAAACGTTAACGTTTTCTTTTGCTGAATGAATGTGATTATTAAAATATTCTATTAGGCATTAATTTAGAGACACTTAAGAGATATTATTATTATTGTTTAAAACAAATTATAAAGGGAGGGACAGAGGTTGAGAAAGCTTTTCTTAAATGTAGAATCAGAATATTAAAATGCAGAAAAATGATAAGTGCATAATGTTGGGAAAACCCTTCAGTGTCTGAAGGACTTGAATCCCTTCAGCAGAGTTTCTTTGGGTATTAATATGGGAATTAATACAATATAATTATCTGATAAGATATTGGACTGTGTACTTTTTCACAGCACATCCATCTCTCTTAAGCTCTAGTGATGAAAGTATGCTATCTAGCCTTTGACAATAAGGCCTGATCAAAGTCCATTATAGTAAATGGAAAGAATTACGGTAGAGTTACAGATCCAAGGAATTACAGACCAGTCAATTTAACTTCAGTAGCTGAAAAGATAATGCAGCAAATCATTAAGCAATTAATTTACAAACACTGAGATGATAATAAGGTGATAAATAACAGTCAGCATGGATTTGTCAAGAACAAATCATATCAAACCAGCCTGTTAGCTTTCTCTGACAGTGTATCAAGCCTTGTAGATGGGGTGGGGGAAAGCATTAGACATGGTATATCTTGACTTTAGTAAGTCTTCTGATACTGTCTCGCATGACCTTCTCATAAACAAACTAGGAAATACAACCTAGATGGAGTTACTATAAGATGGGTGCATAACTCAATGGAAAACCTTTCCCAGAGAGTAGATATCAGTGGTTCACAGTTGAGCTGGAAGGTGTCAAGGTTCCTTCCCCACTCTGAACTCTAGGGTACAGATGTGGGGACCTGCAGGAAAATCTCCTAAACTTACTTTCACCAGCTTAGGTTAAAACTTCCCCAAGGTACAGATTATTTTACCCTTTGCCCTTGGACTTCCATTGCCACCACCAAACGTTTATCTGGGTTTATTTTTATTAGGAAAGCGTTGTTTGGAAATGTCTTTCCCCAAAAAAATCCTCCCAACCCTTGCACCCCACTTCCTGGGGAAGGTTTGGTTAAAATCCTCACCAATTTGCACAGATGACCACAGACCCAAACCCTTGGATCTTAACAACAATGAAAAAGCATTCAGTTTCTGAAAAGAAGGATTTTAATAGAAGTAGTAAAAAGTAAAAAAGAATCACCTCTGTAAAATCAGGATGGTAAATACCTTACAGGGTAATTAGATTCAAAACATAGAGAATCCCTCTAGGCAAAACCTTAAGTTACAAAAAGACACACAGACAGAAATATCCATTCTATTCAGCACAACTTAATTTCTCAGCCATTTAAAGAAATCATAATCTAACACATATCTAGCTAGATTACTTACTAAATTGTAAGACTCCATTCCTGTTCTGTCCCCAGCAAAAGCATCATACAGACAGACTCTTTGTTTTTCCCTCCCCCCGGCTTTTGAAAGTATCTTGTCTCCTCATTGGTCATTTTGGTCAGATGCCAGCGAGGTTATCCTAGCTTCTTAATCCTTTACAGGTGAGAGGATTTTTCCTCTGGCCAGGAGGGATTTTAAAGGGGTTTACCCTTCCCTTTATATTTATGACAGAAGGGCATAGCCAGTGGCGTCCCATAGGGATCAGTTCTGGGTCTGGTTCGTTCAATATCTTCATCAATGATTTAGATAATAGCCTAGAGAGTATACAACAGTGATTTTGATCTGTAATATTCAGACTTGCACTAATTCATTTCTCTGGTTTTGCTAGGTTTTCCTGGAGCCAAAGGGGAAGTTGGACAACAAGGTCGTCCTGGAAATCCTGGACAAAAAGGATCAAAGGGAATTCCAGGTATAGTGATTATAGCAAGCAATTAATAGCAATATAGACAAGACATTCAAGTTGAGGTATTTGTCCTGACTGGATTTAAAATGATCCCAGCAGAATTCTTTGATAAGATCAGACCTGATCATTCATCTCAAAAATATCTCTCTCCTCAGGATGGATGGCAAAGCTTAAGTAACTATGGCCCTCAATTGCACAATGCTTTCCCCTCCTCTAGTCAGCTATAAAATATAAAGTACTATAAAAAGAAAGATCAAGGGGCATACTACAGCCCTGAGCCATCTGATTTACACCACTCTGGCAGCACAAAGTGGGTAGAAGGCCAACTTAAACAGCTGTTTGGGGATTCCCTCAATGTAGGACCCCTGTACGATAACTAACCCCTTCTTGACATTTGTATAAGGGGCACATCAGTGACCCTGCTTTGGTTTGGAAGGGGTTAAAGGGCTGCCCCGGGGAGCCAATCACAAGCAGACTTGAGGCAGCCAATCAGGGCCTGACTGGGTCAATATAAGAAGGGCTCCTGGGGAGAAGGAAATCAGTCTTGCTGTAGCAGTGGAATAAGAAGGACCTAGCTGTCTAGTGGAGACAGGGATACCTGGGAGACAGGGATACTGAGAAAGGGCAGGCTGAGCTGGGGAGCTCTGGCCTGGTGACCTCCCGGGCTGAGGTCTTGCAGCAAAGCCTGAGGAGGTACTCGGGCTGCAGGGAAGCAGCCAGACCAAGAAAATGCAGCAAGTCGATGAGTGGCAATTTCAGACTGCAGTTTGCCCCTGAGAGAAGGGGCAATTTCAGACTGCTGTTTGCCCCTAGATGATGACTGGCAGTAGCCACTGAGGCAAGGTGGTATAAGGGGGTTGGGGTTCCCCTGGGAGGGGAGACCCAGTGTGTGGGAGGGCAGCATCCCAAGGTAAGGAACTCTGAGGTCCAGGAGGCACACGGGGCCAGAGGTGGTGGAGACAACAGGGCAGGTAACTGAGGGTAAGAAACCAGCCAGAGGAGGGCGCTGCTGAGCTGGACGAGCTAATTCCCGGAATGACCAGCAGGAGGCACCACTCTGGTGAGTGCTCTGCCTTACTACATGTAGACAATTATGATAAATTAGGTACTGTTTCCTTTACACCACAACAAGTCACTTTATATAAGAAATGACAAATAGCACAGTGAAGGAAAGGGACATTATAGAAAAGGGGAAAGAGAGTTACAAAAGAATGAAGAGGGAGAAAGAAAAGAGCCACATAAAAAGGAAACACAAAGAATCAGAACTATTTTTTATTTTATTTTAATTTTTTGGAAGCTGAGTACTTTTTTATTTGTACATAAAACTATATGCACTAGTACACTAAATACTAATGCAAGCCATTATCATATGGACTTAGTTGAGAATGCTGCTCCATAAATACATGTACATGGAGCCAACAGGAAGGTTGCTGAGTGTTCATCATTTCTGAAAATCAAGTCACTTATTTCGGTATCTAGAAAGGATTTAGGAGGCTAACTGCAGGTTCCGATTTTTGCACTTCTCAAGTAGGCATTTTTTGACCACAAGTTCACTGGAAATGTGGCTAGTGTTATCCACAGTTATGCATTTATTTTGAGGGATTTTTTTTGGTCACAATGTTATTTTGAATGAATTTTTATCTTTAAATTTAATTTTCTTAACATGCAGTACCAATATTCACAAATAGCTTCCCTGTTCCTGAGAAGTTTTACACGTAAATTAAATCATTGTAGAAACTTCAGGAAAATCAAACCCAGAAGAAACCAAATCACTATTGTACACTAAGGATAATCCCAAAAACTGAAATTGCTCTGTCAGTGGTAGGGTTTGGGTGCTTGGCCTGAGAGCTCCCCTCCCTAAGGAAAAAAAAAACATCTTTTTTCTTCAGATGTTGTGGATGCTGTGGGTAGAGTGAAAGGGAGAGATGTACTCCAATGTAGCTTTACCTGGGTTGCAAACCAAAGTTATCTCCATCAGTGTAAGTCACTATTTTACATCAGTACATCATGTCTGGTTTTTCACTGGTCTAGAAAGTCTGAGTCTACAAACAGCCGGAAAAAAATATCTAAGGTATGAACCATCCATTCAGCCTAATGAGGTATTACTGTAGAAACTTACTGCCATGTCAAGCTCCTCTGCAACCATGTGAGCAGAAGACTCAATTGGGGGTGGTGTGGGAGAGCTTTTGATGCCACTAACCAGTGACAGTGACTCTGCTGTGGAGGTACAGTCTTTTGCACCCTCAGAGTCTTTTGCATAGGTGGGTGACCGTTAAGTCCTCCTTCTCTGGGACTGACTGAAACCTGTCTAAAGAGAAGCAATGGTAGTCTGGGAAAGGAGGGAGCTCCAGTCTCCTCTAAGAGGATTCGTGGTAATATCCTGATAGCTGTGCAGAGAGCTTTTCCTGGTGGAACGGGGGCCATACGGGCCCACAGCAAGTGCTATATGGGGATGTACCTAGGGCACCAGATTGACTTACTCAAGTCCTGAGAGCTGGTAAAAAAGTCCCTTTCAGAAACCTCCCTTGTTTGACCCTCTCAATGAATTTTTCACATAAATATTGTTACTAATACAGGTCTTTTTTATCTTCTCCACACACACACCTGATTTAGGGCCAAAAGGGGAGAAAGGAGACAAAAGCGGAAGTAGCAGCACCATTGCAATATGTAAGTAACACTTAAATAGTTATTTGATTTAAAGAGCATGTATTTTTCTGTTTTTTTCTCTTTACTTAACTTGGTAAGTGTTCTTGTAAGAAAAAAACGTGCCGCTGGGCTTAATGTGGGCAGGCAATATGCAGGCTTCTACATGCAAAGCTCTGGCTCTATAACGTAGTCCTGACCTACAGTGACTCCATTAATCCAGTACCGACCCTTTCTGGAACAAAAAAATGTCAAAAAGTGTGTCAAACTGTTTTGTGGCTTTAGTCATATGGATATCCACCAAGATCTACACTCGGAACGCTGAGCTCCATTCAGTTGGAGCCTACATGGCAGATCTCAATGGAACTGAACACAATAGTTTATTTATTTAGTGTTCTGTGTGAAAAAAACCTTTGAGCATTGACAGAAAGATCCAACAGAAATAACTGAGAAAAATAAAATGTGATTAAGTTAAAATAACAGAAAAGCATGGAATTTTAGTCATTAGATGGTTTGGCAACTGCTGCTAAAGAGTAGGTAAGAGTGAGGACTGATGATATTGTTTCATACTAAAACCATTGATCTCTTTCTGTAAGATTCTCACATTATCCAAATTGCAAACATGCAATTTTTTTTTCACCTGGTGTTTGGGAGTTTAAACTGCACCTATGGCAGTTCTCTGGGTGGGAAATCATTGTATTTATTACCAGGCTTACATTACTTTGAACAAAGGCTCAGACTAGTATTCTGTTTGCTCTAAATAAAGTTGGTCAAATATCAAGTACAAATAATTTGCCAGATCCCACGCCATGACAGAAATGCTTCTAAATCACCTTTATAAAGTGGCCTGTCCCTGTACCATGTTGGCCCCACAGTGCCAGTTAGCGCAATCCGAAGATTAGGAGCACATGGCTATAAGGGTTTATAGAAATAATGCAATCAAATACTGAAATGAAATTACTCAAATAGAATTTTATTTAAATGCAGAAGCTTGTTTCACCAATTTCTGTTTCCTTGTAGAAAGCAAGGAGAACTACCGGCACTTTCCTTGCTGTCCATTTTTAAACAAAGATAAAATGAGATTCAGTGATAAGATTTTTTTTTTAAATCTCCAAGACAGTTTAAAATAACAAGAGAATGAGAGACATTCAGAATATAAGTTGTGGTTAGTCAAATAAGACCACACATTCCACTCAAAAGCATAAAGTTAAAGTGATTAAGAGCAATCTGTACTTCTGTTCATATTTCAGCGACTGAGAATCAAATGGTGGAATACAATCTATTTTGAAATATAACCATACTCTTGCACTGTAGTGCAAACATCAAATATAAGCTTGTAACATTGCAAAATACCTCTCACCCCCAACTGTTTCTACAAGGATTTCATTTCAAGCAGAAAGGCAATTTTAAACCTTGCTTTATTTACTCAGATTGATTACCTTTGTAAAGAATATACCCACTCAATTAACAACAAACCTCCACATCTAGCTCCTATTGACCGATTTACTGTACAGAGGATAATTCATTTATGCCATCTGGCTGGAACCTCTAACCTACAGTCTCAGTAATGGGTCTTGCCTAATTTATTTTCAGGGTCAGTATTTTCATGATGTAGATTCAGCAAGCATAGCCTTTGTTTCTCCTTGGGCTGACAGGTATGTTTCTGCACAAGAAGTCTGGAACCTCTCACCCAACTGGAAATGGAGCCTTTATAGCTAGTTAAACCAATCCACGTGTCAGCCAAGCTGTGCTCGTTGCAGGATGAGGTTGAGGGTGGGACAAAAGTACGTCACTTCTGTATTCCTCCAATCCTTGTGTTTGCAGGGAGCTAGACTGTCCGCCGGCATAAATTAGAGGAATCTTAGTACTTAATACTGTTTTAATTGACTGCTTACCCTAACATCAGAAGGGGCAATTGTGTCAGCCAGGGATCACCAGAACCCAGCTCCTCCCTGCTCTACATGTCATCTAAACTGACAGGGGTCAGAAGCAGGAGGCAACACTAGCTCCATTGTAGATAGGAATTCCACTGCTGGGATCCTGTTTGTGCCACTCTGATGGTACAAAATGTCACAGTTACAGAGTAACCTGTCCCCTTCCTAGTCTCTCTGTGTACACCCTTCATGCCTCAGGCTTTTACCTGTCTGAGGGTGGAATCACACAATTCTACTCTGAGATCAGGCCCTGGACTACAGTTCCTGGTGTATCTATAGTTCTTACCCTACAGGTCCAACTGAATTCAGACACCTGCAGTTCTTCCTTTCAAGAACCAGTGAGCAGTGGAATCTAGTGACAAAACAGCCTTCTTAAAACAAACTACAGTTTGTTTTCACAGTAGGAACAAAGTATTGAGAGAGAATTTTAAAAACAGTCTATATGCATGTCTGTCTTACCCACTGGCTTACCATCCTCTGTCGATAACCTAGCCAGGCCTAACTTCTTCAGACACTCCCAGTGGGTTCCAGTGTCTCTCTGGCTCCCCTGAACAACTACCTCGCTCTTTCTTCAGAGTTCCTTTTTAAACTCCCCCATGGTATTCCTGGGCCATTTCCTGTCTGGGCATGTTCTCTTTACAGCTCTCAAGCGTTTGCAGTGAAATGGCTTATTTTGTTTTTTTTGTTCCCTCCTGCTTGGTTTTTTTTTTTTTCCAGATAGCCCTCCAATATATTCATACATAAACAGCCCAATAACCAGGCCAACATACAATACTCATAAATTATTACAGAGCGGCTCCTAATCTGTCACACAAAGTTCACATAATGTGGTACATGATGTTGTCCTCATTTTGGTTTTGGCTTGTATAAGCACCCTGCACTCAGAACTATATGAAATTCTTAGATCTGCAAAACTGGGCTGGCAATCTCATGTGAACAGCTTTTGTCATAGACCAATCAGAAACAATCCGTAAAGACTGGAAATCTCAGGGGGACAAGCCTGTTCTTATGCAAATCCAGCCAAAGTTGATCTGGAGATTGAGAGAGATCAGACTTTGCCCATGGTATTTTGTTGCTTCCAATCTGATCTCAGCCAAAACCCATAAGTACAAAGCTAAAATAAATATTAAAAAGTTAACCAACATATCTGAAACTTCCAAAATAAGTTCAATTCAGATTTGGAGGAAAGGTTCCTGGGGAAGGGACAGGAAAGTCCTTTAGCCATTTTTGTTTCCCCATCCTCAATGCAGGCTAATGTGTCATAAGGCTAAGAAGTGACTGTTCAGTATGACAGGGAACATTAAACAATAAACCAGAACTTGGAAACAAGAACACTGAAAATGTAGGAGTCTAACCAAGGTCATTTGAGGAAAAAACCCCAAGAGAGAGGTGACCTCTGACGTTAACAGTAGACCTCTTACCAGATCACAAATCCAGGTGTCGCAGTCTGAGTATTAGAGTAGACCTTATAAATAAAGGGGTGGGGGAGTTGTGTGTGAGCAAAAGACCCTGAACAGATTTCATAGCAGAGGGCAGAAGCCATCAACAGAGGACAGGACAAAAATGTCAGACTAATAAAACAAAACATTATTGTAAACGCAGGATAAAACATGATACCCAAAAACTGCCAGTGAGACGTCTTATAGATCATGGGAGCGGTATAAGAACCTGAAGACAACAGAAAAATAAAACATATTGAAGATGTTACACTACAAGGAGATTTAGGGACCTCCAATATCAGGGTGTTTGTCAAAATTGAAGTAGTTTGTAATTCTGGAATCTGAACAACAGAAGGGATTCTTCTTGCCTTTTAAAGGAAAGCTTTAGTGATCACTAATTAGTTTTAAAAAAGGAGTACTTGTGGCACCTTAGAGACTAACAAGTTTATTTGAGCATAAGCTTTCGTGAGCTACAGCTCACTTCATCAGATGCTCACAAAAACTTATGATCAAATAAATTTGTTAGTCTCTAAGGTGCCACAAGTACTCCTTTTCTTTTTGTGGATACATACTAACACGGCTGCGACTCTGAAACCTGTAATTAGTTTTAATACTTTAGATAAATAATTACTAAGAGCTAGATCATAGGTAGGAAAGGGAGTGCGGAGCTGCCCTCTGTGCTTGCGTGGCCCATATAAAGGCTAGGTAGAATCCCAGTCCCTCCTTTCAGGAGAGCACAAGGACTTCTCTTTAATGTGTGGAGCAGAACAGGGGAGATAGGAGGGAGCGAGAATGGGCAGACTTCAACTGGACTCCTCATGGGTGCAGGAACCTGGCTACACAAATCTGATTGCAGGACTGGGGCCTTAGTTAGCAACAAACAGCTCACACATCAAAAAACACAATCCAGGTTTTTTTTTAATCTCTGGATTTATACATATACACTGGGGGAGGCAGAAGGTGAGAATCATCAAGTCACAGCATTTTTGTTAACCTTTTATTTAAGCACCTGATCCTAGAATTGATCCAAATTCAAACCTCCATAGACTGCTCTGGAAGTTCTGTGCAACATCTGATTTCAGATTTGTCTGTGTGTATTTCCTTGTTTATTTTTATGTATAGTTCAATACGAAAATATTAATAATCAAATAAAGGAAAGTATGTAATTAAAATATGGTCAAAAGAGTTTAAATCAATTTGTTTGCAATGCAAAATGTTATCCTGAAAAATGCAATTACAACTCTGTTTACAAGTCACTAGTAACCTTTTTATTAAAATCTTTAAGAGTATGGTAATTGGATGATTTTCTTTCACAGTATGGTGGTGGGAAAAGTCACTAATTCATATCCTGCAGTTTAATGTCTGACTTGTGTCACCTCTCTGGAACATGCACTTAGAAAATCTCAAAGTATCTAATTATAGCACCTGCCTTGTTCAGTGTTTTGTGATCCATATACAAATGTCTCGACTTGCTGCGTAAAGAAATCTTCGAAAGAAAAAGGGTTTAGGGAAAGCTTAAATCAGCATCCTTTGGTTTCTTCCATGCTGTGACATTTATCTATGGAGTTAAGTCATCACACAGTAATAGCTTAGCATACAGCGTGGGCTAATTCTATATTTAGAGATGCCATGAACTAATAGAGAGAGATTC